CGAAGCGAGAAACAAATGGACGAGAGAACTAGTGTCGACCCCAATGATACAACCAAGAACTGCACCGATCGAGAGCACAGACCATGAGGTGGGTGACGTGGGTGCCAGTACCCGATTGCTCGGCACATTTTGCCAAGCTGGTCATCCGGTGTACATCCGGAAGATACGCGAACGATCATTTTGGCGCCAACCACAACGCGATGACAAGCTTCGTGGCAGGCACTACGCGAGTGGAGTTGTTAATTGTAATTGCCACTTTACAGGCATCTATTCTCCCGAACGTACTCATGAAGAAGCCAAACGCAACCACGGCGAACCCGATGCTCTCCACCACCTGCGCTGCATCCATGCAAGTAGGCAAGAATGAAATCCAAGGCAGTGCAAGTGTCTGGAGCGCGGCCACCACGAGGACGAGGACGCCGTACGTGAGCATCCAGGACGCGACGATCGCACCGTCGGTGACGCCAAGCACCTTCGTCATTTCGCGGGCTTTCGTTTCCTTCTCCTTGACGAGCGCGACCAAGAGACCCGTCACGAGCTGCACGTACGACACGACAAACACAAACGAGAAAAAGTCGCCGGCTGTCGCAAAACACGGCGACGCTTTGTACGCAGCGATCGGCAGCGGCAGCACGAGACCGCCAAAGTACGGCTGCGGCGCCTGACGCAGCGGCACGAGCAGCAAGCGCCGTGCGTCCAGCGGGAGCTCGCGCAACGTAAGCGACGTGCCATACGCTTTGTTGAAGGCCGCGACAGCGGTAAGGAGCGCATCGTCGTTCTGGACTTGCACCATGAATCGGTCGTCGAGGGCGTCGCTTTGGAGAGACGTACTCGCGGCCACGGTGCAGGCGCCGGGAGCCGACCCATTCCACGATGGAACACACGCTGCAAAGCGCGTCAGAAGCGTCTGCAGTGCTAAAAACCCATGGCGCGCATACCTAGCCTCAACAGCGCTTACAGTGGGGTTAGGGTAGGGTAGGGTAGGGTACCGCTGGTACGGCGTGGCGACCAAGGCTTTCTGGTTGAGATCGACGCCGGTACCGGTGGTCGAGGGTGCATCGCCCGACGTCGCGTTGAAGCGGAGAGTGTAGGCAAGTGCCCCGGCCGTCCCGAGGCGCGGCGTCGCAGCGTCAAAGACAATGGCTGCGTAAATCTTGGGGTGGCTCAGATCTTGGCCGTACGACCCGCCTACACGGTCGTGCAATTGAGATTTATGCAATCGCGCATTCGTCTGCACCCGAGACGTAGTCGTCGAGCGCTGCCTCGTCAGGGTAAAAGGCTATGGCGTCGAGGAAGCTTGGGATCGTGAGGCTGCGCGAGGCGTTGGTCAGCGGCACGCGCGGGTACCATGCGTGGACGGCGGCCGCAAAGTACGCCCGGGTGTACGTCGTGTCGGGCACTATCGCGAGCTTGTACGGCACGACCTTGCCGGCGCAGGCAGCGGGCACCGTGTGCGGTGACGTCGGATCGGTGCTCACAGCGCCACGGAAGAGGAAGAGCGACGAGCAGGTCTGGCGGTCCGATGCCGAGAGATCGTCGAGGCGTCGGCCCTCGGCGAGTGACATGGCGCTCAGCCGCAGTAGAAGACCCGAGATGGTGGCCTCGGTCGCAGCAAACTTGGCCGGCGCCGGCGACGTGGCCGGGTAGCCTTGGTAAACCGAGTACGTCGGTGCGACGGAGGCCGACGACGAGAACGTCGACTCCATGTTGTCCGACCAGCCGCTCGGCACGGTGATGTCAGCGGCCTGCCCCTTCAAGATGCCAAGGATCAATATGAAGACGACAGGCAGCACGAGCTCAAAGACGAGGCGGATCGGGTGGCGCCTCTTAAGCAGCGCGTTCTTCCATAGCAGCGTGCGCACGTGGTGGCGAGGGCGGGTCATGAGTGACCTAAAGGGATTTGGCGAATGCGTCGCCGGGACAGGTAATGCCATGAGTCCTAATTAGGACAGGAGCCGTGGGACACCTCGATCCGACGACATGCATTCCAAAGAATGGACCGTTGTCACAATGAGCTTTCTGGTGCCCCAGATAGCCCACGCTCGGCAGCCATGCTCAGCGCTTGCAAGTCGCTGCCCGTGTCCTTAGTGTAGCCCGGCAGAGGCATGCAGCTGAAGTCGAGCAGCGCTAATCAAGTGACGGCCATGACACTGATGGAGATGGCAACCTTACTCGCATGGTAATGCGGTATGCTGGATAACATCACGCTAGTGTCCGGTGGACACTCGCGGACAAGGTGGCCGCGCATCGTCAATTGTGATGCGAGATAGTTTCTGTGGTAGAAAATGCGCTCGCATCACGCAACGCGGCAGTGTCCTGCCTCGTGTCCTACGCGTGAAGCTCCTAGATGTTTCCTCCGGGCATACCTTGGCGACGTACGGACGAACATGCGTGGATGCGACTGTGATGACGACAAGGTGCCTGGCGTCATCACCAGGTTTTTATCCGAGGTCTTATTTCCAGACGTGCGACGGTCGGCGCCAGGTTGCGTCTCTAGACGTCTCAGAGCAATTGTAATGGGCGAATATCCTTGTTTCAAACTAGGATTGGTCGTTTTTGCCTATATTTGCCTACCGGCTTCTGTCCGGTAGGCAAATATACCGGTGCGTTTTGCACGTTGAAACGCCGAAGAAAATAAGTGGCAGGACGATGGCCAAGCCGGTACGTAGCACACGACCTCGTGAAGAGCAGCGCCTCTCA